ACCAAACGCGAAGTGAAAGATGGGAGCCGGTGGGGACGGGCTAGTGGTTGCTCGTTGCGGTGGCCCTGACCTCGCAAACAAAGACCACGTGCACACGGTCTGCGAGGAAGGCGAGGCTGTAGGACCATCTTCCCCCGACACGTGCCGACCCCACCCAAGAATGAAGTCAGCATCTTGAACCCGCCGGCAGTGAGCATCAACTGCGCACACCCCGGAGCGCACCATGAAACGTCACCAACACATCACGGTTTGAAGACGGCGCCGCCAGTGGAGGCATATAAAGAGGATCGCGCCATGGAATTCCTCAGAGGGCACGGCGGGACCGCAATGGCAACAACGCTAAGCCCGTCTATCTTCTTTGTTCAGGTCACGCTGTGTGTTCTGACTCACCACGTGCCGACCCCACCCAAGAATGAAGTCAGCATCTTGAACCCGCCGGCAGTGAGCATCAACTGCGCACACCCCGGAGCGCACCATGAAACGTCACCAACACATCACGGTTTGAAGACGGCGCCGCCAGTGGAGGCATATAAAGAGGATCGCGCCATGGAATTCCTCAGAGGGCACGGCGGGACCGCAATGGCAACAACGCTAAGCCCGTCTATCTTCTTTGTTCAGGTTTGTGACAAACATGCTTCTTGCTTTCGAAGCAATTATAGATGTATTGTTGTCCTGCCGTGCCCGGCCACAATTGAGTGTCTTATTGTGGATGCATGGAGTGTCATTTTGATCCTTCTATCTGGAGATGTCGAGCAAAACCCTGGGCCTCAAGGGATAGAGGAACTGAAGGTGATGATGAACGCCATGCTTACTTCGCAGAACGACCTTAAAACGCGAATTGTTAACCTGGCGGCTTCCCAGGAAAAGCTAGAATCAACAGTGAACGCTAGGATGAACGAAGTTATGACAGCTTTACAGGAGCACAAGGGAGAGATTCGTGTACTGCAGGGGGAAGTCACATCCTTTAGAAATGACCTCCAGCTCCAACAAAAGCGCCTCGACGACTTAGAAAATAGGAGTAGACGCCGCAACCTTGTCATTTTCGGGTTTCCTGAGCCCGACCGTGAAAACACCGAAGCATTAAGAAGCCAAATAATCCAGGACTTAATAGGACAGAAGCTTGGAGTAACTGTTAGCTCGGTGGAAAGAGTCCACAGGATAGGGAAAAAACAACCAGACAAACCGCGGCCTGTGATAATAAACTTCTTTGACTATAACGAAAAACTGAAAGTACTAAAAAATTGTAATAAATTAAAAGGAACTACAATCTCAATCAACCACGACTTTTGTAAGGGTACACTTGCCAAAAGAAGCAAACTTTGGTCCAAATCTGGGGACTTCAAAGCCAGAGGACGTAAGGTAGTGCTGGACTATGATAAACTACGGGTTGATGACGACCTATATGAATGGGACGAGCAGAATGACTGCCTGAAGTGCATCCGCTCTCAGGAGCGACGGAATGACGTCGACTGACTTGAATCGAAACAGTTACGTTTTGTACTACTAAATGCCAGAAGTATCGTCAATAAAGTCCACCAGCTCGAAGAAATTATACTGACATATAATCCGCAGATAATTGCAATCACGGAAACATGGTTATCAGCAGATATACTTGATGCCGAAGTTACTCCCCCCACTCACAAAATAATCAGACGTGATCGTGGCTCTCGAGGAGGGGGAGTTGCCTTGATAGTAAAAAAGGAAATCTCATGCGTCATCTTAAGCGAAATAACCGACAATGAAAGTGTATGGTGTCAAATCGACTATTATGGGTTTTCGACTCTCGTAGGTGTTGTCTATAGGCCCCCATCTTCTCCCGAGTCATTTCTAGAGAACATTCAACTTCATATGGAACAAATATACAAACCCATTCAAAAAATCATACTGGCGGGTGATTTTAATCTACCGTCAATTAACTGGTCGACTTTCCAGCCTGGCTCAACTGAAGAAAAAAGCTGCCACTTGCTACTCGAATTAATGCTCAATTTTAATCTAAGTCAGCTTGTTACTGAAGGTACTCGTATCTCCCAAAATAGCAATAACACACTGGACCTAATTTTTGTTGGAAACTTTCCAGAGGACACTGAGGTTAACGTTTACGATGGAATATCTGACCACAAGCTTGTTTTCCTTACGACTAATTTTTGCCCAGTAAAAAAGAGTCACGATGGTAAACTTGTCTTTAACTTCGCGGCTGCAGATGACGAAGCTATTATTGATACTCTTGATTTGAACTTCAGCGACTTTGAGACGGAGGGTGACATTACAACATTATGGAATGCCTTTAAACATATTACTGGAAAGTGCCTTCATAAATACGTACCAAAAATAGTAAAAAAGAAACATCAGAACCCCTGGATAACAAGAGAGATAATACATCTTAAAAGGACATTATCTAGGAAACGGAGAGGAAATCGTAAAAATGCTGATGTCATATCTTCCCTCGCAGAGACGTTGAAACAAAAAATAAAGACGGCGCGTGATCATTTTTTTGGAACAACGTTAGTAAACTTTATGAAAGAAGCGCCTCAAAAGTTTTGGGGGTACCTGTCGGGCAATAAGAAATCTATTGAACAGCTTCATGTGGATGGAAATGCTGTTACTGACTCCTACCAAATTGCGAACGAGTTTAACCGCACCTTTCATGGTGTTTTTAGTTCAAGATGCACTTCTGAAGAAACTATTGACTCAGTACCTCTTTTCCCAATAATGCGAGATATAGACTTGAACATCCACGGTATACGTCATCTACTTTTAAACCTAGATGTAAAAAAATCATGTGGTCCTGATGGCATCCCAAATGCTTTTTTGAAACGTTACGCAGAGATGATTTCACAATATTTATATGTCATTTTCAAAACGTCTTTGGATCAGGGATGTCTTCCACCTGACTGGCTTTGTGGAAAAGTTGTACCCGTACATAAGGATGGGAGCAAACTGCTTGCTGAAAATTACAGACCGATATCATTAATTAGCACCTGCTGTAAATTGCTAGAACATGTCATCGCCAGTCGCATAAGTTTTTTTCTAGAAAGCCATAACATATTAGCCAACTTTCAGCACGGGTTCAGAAAAAGATTGTCTACTACTACTCAACTGCTCTCAGTAGTACACGATTTCGGCCATGCGATTAATAACAGAGAACAAATTGATGCAATATTTTTAGACCTATCCAAGGCCTTTGACAGGGTACCGCATCACCTACTACTAATAAAATTGCAACAGGTTGGCATTGCTCCTCGCCTTGTGACATGGATCGCTGCTTACTTAAAAAATAGGGTACAATTTGTTGAAATCAACGGATGTCAATCAGTACATCTTGACGTGCTATCTGGCGTTCCACAGGGGTCGGTCTTAGGACCTCTCTTATTTTTAGTTTATGTCAACGACATAGCCGACAACATTGATACAAGTGTGACCGTGAAAATGTTTGCTGACGACTGCGTTGTTTATAGAACTGTCAGAAACACGTGCGATCAAGTATCGCTTAACGAAAACTTTTGCAAAATTGCCGAATGGTGTGAGAGGTGGCGAATGGTTATTAATTACTCTAAAACGTGCGCTCTCACAGTAACGCACAAGAAATACCCTCTTAGCTTTGCATACCACGTTAAAGACAAATGCATAAAAACTGTAAACGAGGTAAAGTATCTGGGCCTACATCTTAATTCAAAATTAAATTGGGAAACCCATATAGATAGTACAACCGCAAAGGCTTACAAAAAGTTGTGTTACTTAAGACGGAAGCTGGGACCATGTGACTCGTCGGTAAAACTTTCGGCATATAAAAGTTTGATTCGGCCAGTGCTAGAATACGCGTCCATTGTGTGGGACCCGTACTTAATAAAAGATATTGGAAAAGTCGAGAGAATCCAGCGCCTCAGTGCACGATTTATTTCTTCCGATTTTAGGCGCCTATCATCAGTGTCGGACATGATACGTAATTGCGGACTCGAATCGCTCGAGTCTAGGCGGAAGATTGCTAGGCTGGGTTTTTTTTATGAAGTCTACAATAATGAGTCCGGCCTGGACAAAACCTTATACCTTTTGCCACCTCCCCAGCGCTCTGCAAGATTGAATCACGCAAAAAATGTGAGACCATATGCTCCTAAAAATAACACGTTTAAATACTCCTTTTTTGTACGTACGATTAATGACTGGAATTCACTGCCCTCCGATTGTGTGCATGCCCCAAATATTGACTGTTTTGACTGTTGTGTTCGAAACCTTATGTAACCGATTGTGTGCACGACCCAAATGTTGACTGTTCTGACTGCTCTGTTTGAAACCGTATGCAACCCTTTCCTGCTTGGGTGGTGAAAAACCATCTGCAGTATTTTCTAAATAAAAAAAAAAAATAAAATAAAATTAGCCGAGGGTCTCACCGGCCTCGTACGTGTGCGGTTCCAGGATCAATACATTCACATTTTCTTGGTTTTGAGGACGCTAACAAGTGGGCAACGCACAAACAAGAAAAGAAGCTTTGCAAACATTTTCAAACAACACGCTCTCCTGATTTTTTCTATATATTCAACTTTGTAGCCGGAATGCGGGACCCGGAGAACGTCTCCGTGAACGTCAGCGTTGACGTCACTCCTATATCCCTGATTTTTCCGGGAGGCGTTTTGCGGAATAGGTTGGACAGCCCTTTATCTGCCCAAGCCGTCGTCACGTCATCATTGGAATCTACAAGGCAGCTGAGGGGCGAGTCGTTTGACCCCGCCGATGGCATCACTTTCCCTAGTTTTTCCTCTAGACTCTTTCGGCGCGTGGCAATGGGGCAGGGCTACATGGAAATTTGAACTGGAGATTATGACTCACCATTTGATAATATTTAAAGTGAACTTTACATACATAACTATTAAGCTGCCTGCATTCAAACTTTCTGAGGTCTTCAGTATTCCAAGAAACCTTCAGCTTTTACATCATTGTGAACCAAAGCTTCAAGTACACTGGGCGGGGAAGGGGGGGGGGGGGGATAGACGAACAACAAGACGCACCGTTCACTCCATCGGTGCCGTTGACTCCGGGGAGTCCGTTGGTACCGTCCACGCCGTCCTTTCCTTGGGGTCCGTCGGGGCCCTGTGGTCCCGGGATGCCGTCCAGGCCTGGCGGACCGGGCAGTCCGTCTCGGCCGTCCAGACCCGGTGCTCCGGGTTCCCCAGGGCCGCCTGAAAGCAGGCGGTCATCGGGAAGGAACGTCCGAATTTAGATACATTTCGGGAAACTGCTCGGCTGCTCTAAATCATTTGTCGCCTCGGTAGCTCCGGAACAAAGCGCCGGCCTACGTATCCCCAGTTGGTGGAATCGAATTCCAGCCCACAATCCGACGGAGGCATTTCGTGGAGAGGGCGCCGTGTGACACTCATTTCGGTTGGACGTTAGAATGTCCCGAAGTGGGCCAAATAAATCCACAGCCCGCTGCTGTGGCGTGCCAGATGCTCTTCTATGGTTCCGAACGTAAATCGCCAAAGTTTGAATTTGACTTGCTCTAAAACGTTGAATGAAACTTTTTAGGAACATTTTGGCTGTGATGCACAACTGCCAACCGTGTTCCTTTGTTGACTTATGAATTTTATGTAAAATAAATTATTTAACGATATATTTGTGAACAACTTAGGTTAACATAATGATTTAAACAATAATATTTGCATCTGCTAACTCGTTTCCTAAGAACACCCAAGTGTTTAATTCAGGGCTCGCCATATAAGCGGTTGTTGTTCGCAGCACATGCAGGTAACTAGTTCTCATTCACCTACTGTTAAGAACGAATATCTTGATGGGAAGGAAGGCACGATTACGCACGCTCAACGTAGTGCAGTCTCCAGAAAAAAGAGCTATTACAGAGGAGCGCCGACCGGAGCAGGAAAAATACCGCATGGGGCGAGCGTGGCCGCGCCTTGGCTGCCGGGGTAATCGAACAGTTTCACTTAGATAACGATGGGGTGGACGCAGGAACATTCTTCGTCGTATTATTTTCCGCGATAAAGAGTCTATACCTTCGAGGTACTTCAAGCAATGCTTAACAAAAAGTTACTAAGATTTGAAAGCTTGTGTGAGTTTCGGAAATCAACTTTCGGAAACTCTGAATGTCAGGTCAGCACAAGATCGAACACACTTGAAATTCGGATGTTTGGCACAAAGCAAGTTGTAAACAGCGCGATCCAAAGTTTTCTTAAAATAAACTTTGAAAACTTGGAGCCTTAGATAAATACAATATTTAATTACATAAAACAATATAATATTTATTTATACCACAAATATGAGGCATATCACCAGCACCTCATTAAAACGGATGCTCGTGAAGATAATCAGCTCGACATTGGCAATGTTTTAAAAAATGAAAGCCACTTGCAGCTCCCTGTAACGCCGAATTAGGGCGCAGCTCTTGAGGAGAAGGAGGGAAGGGTACTGAGGGTCACGTGTTCTCGGGGGGGGGGGGGGTCAGGGTCACGTGATCCGCCCCCCGGGGTTACGTGACCTTGGTGGGGTCAAGTGACCTCGAGAGGAGGGTCACGTGGGAGATCACGTGACCCCCCGCCGAGGTCACGTGACCCCCAGAAAAATGTTTCCGCCAGACTTAGCCGAGAAATTTTTCCGCTAAATCTGCCGGGGAAATTTTTCCGCTAGATTTTTAGCGGGGAAATTTACCCATTCTACACCGCGCGGTTACGCCGGCGGCGACGGCGACGGCGACGGCGACGTCGCTCAAGCAGGAAACGGGCGCCTGAGAGCTGCGCTCTAAAACCCTTATTACCACAGTCGAACGTACCTGAACGGTACATCCAAAAACAGAATTCCATGCAAGCACAATAATAATACAGATTCACTACACGAAAGGCAATGTCCCAGTGACGAACGAAAAAAACTCTAAATAAGGGACACGTCGAAATGCGCTTTCCCATTAAAAGTTCCTGCCCATTTTACACGTATATTATTGAAACAATAACCTTTCGAAATCCAAAAGCAGAGCGCCTTACTAACAGACGGTTTCGTACAAACACTGACTTTTCGTGCCAGTATGACATACAACGCTATTCTTTTTTCTTTTTTCTATTAGCAGTCGGAGCGAGGTTTCTTATCTGTAGGCGGAATGGCCAGGTTCGCAAACCTCTTGCTTTGGTGTCACGTTCTCGCTATCCGGCGAGAGCACTTTCCCCCTACGGCTGTCTAGAATTGCACATTGCAAGTTTTGTATTCCACGTGTGGGCCAGGAGGAGGTTAAGGCGAAAAAGAAAAGCACCCATACGCTTGTCTCCCTCTTTCCACGTAGACAATAATGGCAGTGTTTCGGAGCCGACCCAAAATCATTTATACAGAAGCCACGTCTTTTAAGGAGGACAAGAAGGCGAAAGACGCAATTGAAAGCGAAGTTTTACCTTGCGATTGAAAAACTACAACGTGAAATAAGCAGCTCACAAAACTCTCTCCGGAACTTTGCTAGATCATAAAACTTAGGCTCTCGCGAAACTCCTGCTAGCGTAGAATACGTTCGCAGGTGCTAAGTGGCGCAGGCGTCATATCATGTGGTGACGTCACTTTCCAGCGAAATTGCACCTGCTAATTTAGCAAGAAAAGGACTTATGCTCTATTGTTGGCGCTACATCCTTTCGTGGCGTTACATATATCCATGACGTTACATTTGTATGTAATGTCAGATCTGTTCATGGAGTTACATCTCTTTGTAAAGTTACAGCTGTTAATGAGATTACATTTGCCCGTAACGTTCAATATGTTCCTGGCGTTACTTTTTTTGTAACACTGCACCTTACATTAAAATTTGTGTAACGTTACTCATGTTCTTGGTGTTACATCTGTCCATAACGTTACCCATGTGAATTACGTTGCATTTGACCGTAATGTTACTTATGTTACTAATGTTACTCCATAACGTAACACCCGTTCGTAACTTTACATCGGTTCGTGACGTTACATCTCCCCATGTTGTTACATCTGCCCATGACGCTACGATTTCCGTAACACTACTAGTGTCTATGGATTTATATATTTCGCTAGTTTTACAGCTGTCCGTCTCTTTACGATCTTCCGTAACGTTATTTGGGTTCTTGACCTTACGGGTGGGGAAGCCTGCCCGTAACGTTGCACCTCTCCGTGACGTTACCTTTGTCCGTGAAGTTACATCTGGTTGTGGCGCTACGTCCGTACTATTACCCGTTATATTTGTCCGTAACGTTACACATGCCGATAACGCTACATCATTTCTTAACGTTACGCTTGTCTATGACGTTACGCTTGTCTACGACGTTACATTTCTCTGAAACGTTACTGTATTTCCGGTGTTAAGTCTGTGCGCAGCGCAAAACTTGCTTGTAAAAAGGTAATCGATTTTAATATAGACTACCTTTGCTTAAAATCATGTATTACTAAATTACTTGAGACGACAACTATGTGGCCGTTACTTGAAAATGTAACCATTACTTTTGCTATTGAATCAAATATTCCGGACGACGGAGTTTTCTGTCCATTCAGAAACGAATATTTTACAATTCATGATTAGACTAGAATCAGCGAATTATGAATTACCTATCTTCTTAATCCACTAATTTTGGTAAACCAACCGCCTGTCGGAGGTTTCGTTCGAGGATTTTGTTTTAGGAAACTTGTGTGAACAAAGAACAGCATCAGAAACGTAAAAAAAAGTCACGGTTACAGATAATTTTAGTGCTTTCAGAATTAATCAAATTAGTGTTGTGATTGCTTCCTAATAAATGTAATGAATTGATTAGAAAGTTTTCCCAAAATGTATTCGATTACAAGTAATTTGATGACTTGTAATGAGTACTTTTCACGTCTGCCTCACCATGACTTTGCATTTGTCCGCAACGCCACTGAGGATCCTGACGTTACATCTGTCCGTAACATTACACGTGTCCATGACCTTACCTTCGTCCATAACGTACATCTGCCCATGACGATACACTTGTGCGCAACATTACATTTGTCCGCGACGTTAAACCTTATCTCAAAAGCACCACGGAGTCAGAAAACGTATTCTACGCTGAAAACATTGCAAGCAAATTTAGCTACGCTGTTGCCTTACCGAGGTTAGCACACTAACATACAGTAATTCTCGGTTCCACATGAAGTTCCGGCTTACCAGTGTCTCCTTTCTGCCCTTTTGGGCCTATTGGTCCTTCGGGTCCGGGAGAACCGGGTATTCCAGGCAGGCCCCTGAATCCCATGTCTCCCTTTTGGCCGGGATAACCTGGAACCCCTGCATCAAACCTCCAGGTTAACATCTATCTCACAGCGCCGATCTTCCCCTATCGGAGTGAGAACTCCGCGTTTGAAAAACGCATGCGTATGACGCTGTCCACCGTGTCCCCTCTGGTACTACATAGATGAAGAAGACTGCCACCAAAATATCGAAATACAGAATTCGCTTAAGAAAGTAGTCGCGGCTGTCTCGGCTGTCTTGACAGGTTACTACGACGACCGATGGCGGCAGTCATCCCTCTCAATTCAAAGGAGGAAACCTTGAAGCTGAGCGCGTCCAGCCGTCCTAACTCTGCAAAAGTTGACGGTGCCGAGGCCGTTGGATTTTCGCAGAGTGCGACTTATTGTTTAGTAAATTATTTGATAAACCCCCTTTCTTCTTCCTTTCGCTTTCCCGCATCAAAGCACAGGCATGACAGGTGTTCCTTCTGCACCTCTCCTACCTTGCCTGTTAAGAAGGGAACTCGTCCCCAATTGCAACCAGGTCGTCAGTTTGAGATATCTCATCGGAAGACGTCATGTCGCCTGGAATGTCGTTAAGCAATCGCTATACCTTTTTCACCTCCACCCATGAAAGTGATATAACTACCAGCTTGTGATTTGTATAACATGCAGTTTGATGTTTCGAGTAAGAACTTCTTAGTGCTCTTTTTTCTTTCTTTTGTATAATGATGTCCTGCAATGCATCTCCTTACCGCCAATGCATTTCTTTACCCCGTATGGATCCTCAAAATTTCATAAATCATGTTGACGATAGCACAGATGAAGTACGTCAGGATAATACATATTGCCACGCTCCTCGGCGGGCGACCGCGTGCGTGGCCGAGTGGTTACCGCGCTTGACTGTCGCGCGGAATGTCTAGGTTCGATTGCAGTCAGTGGTATGCTTTTTTATTTATTCTTTCAACATTGCGTTCTCGTGAGTTCGAGAACATTCTCGTCTGATCGAGGTCTGAATGTTAAAGTCGCCGAACATTCTATGCCGAGTGTTCCAGAAGCCAACGCGCGTACATAAGGGGCACCGCGCGGCGATCTGCAGTCTGTTCGTCCCAGCGCCCGACTCTGCTGTCACGCCGACCTCGACGCCCTCGGCGCTCTGCTTTCTTCTGTTCCTTTTTTTAATTATTTTTGGGCACAAGTTTGCCCTATTAAACGTTTCAGTTTCCCCAGTTATTTTTTGTTTCGTTTGTTCATTCGTGACAATATGTTAGGCAAAGCGGATAAGGGAATTTGGTATTCTGAAGCCTCGTTTTATAGAGTCGTTTTACGCATGACCGAATCTTTATTGTTTGTATTATTCCAACAACCAGCATTACACAAAGCGCCGTGTCGCACCGGTTTTCGGCAAAATGTTCATGTTCCATGTGTCGTTACCGAGACGATGCGCGTGTTGGAACGTTTACATAACCAGAGTTCAATTAGGACTGCTCTGTAGTGATAATCGGGGAACATTAAACAAGGATTATTTTAAGCTAACAGAAATACTGTACAGTGCTTTGGTGTAACATGTCATAATATGTTATTAACAAGTACCTAGGCATTACAGAGGCGTTGATGCACCTGGTGTATGGCCAAAAATCGGACAGTATCGCGGCGAAAATGAATCGGTATAGCATTTTAGAAATCCGAATAGTATTTATATTTTTGCCTCGCGATACAACTTCTAAACTGTACTTTGTGTCATCGAAATAGATTTTGGGGGGTATTCCTGATTTCACACTGCTCGCGGGGGCGGATGCGCCTCGTTACATTTCTCAAGAATTCGTTTACTTGTTTCGGAGGCGAGAACATGAACGTTAAAATTCTACATTGAGTACTTTTTTGTTGTTTAACAAATACACTGATGTCTCGTTATTATAGACACCTCCGTTCCCCCCACATATCATCCATAATGTGAGTTGTCCAAAATAACGGAACAAAAATGCATGTATATTTTCCAGTTTAACCCCCCGATGGGTGTCCACATAGCGGGGTATCCATGTTCACGAGGTTTATATTAACAAGTTATGACTGTATTGCACATTAATGGAGATCAAGCTTTCTGCTTTCTTCCTCATTCACACTGTCGTGTTCTCTCAACCAGTCCTACAAGTATGAAAGCATCTCAAATTGTTTTTTTTTCTTTACAAGATGTATTTAACTACCTCTGTTTGTGCAAAATGAATTTATGTACTTTTTATAAGTCACAAATGCATTTCTGATACGTATCGCGATAACTTTTAGAGCGCAGCTCTTAGGCACCCGTTTCCGTGTATCCCGGCGTCGGCATCGGCGTCGGCGTCGCCGTCGGCATTGTGGAACCGCGCTAAATTTAGCGGAAAAATTAATGTCCCGTGACCTCAACACCAATTCAATTCTCCGCTAAATTAAGCAGGGAAATTCAGTTTCTCCGCTAGATTTAGAGGGCAAATCTAGTTTTTCCGCTGGATTTAGCAGGAAAATTGACATCCTGTGGCCTCGACACCAATTCAATTCCCAGCTAAATTTTGCTGGGAGATTCAGTTTCTCCGCTTGATTTAGCGAACAAATTCAGTTTCTCGGCTAGATTTAGCGGGGCATTGAATTAGCGTTAAGGTCACGTGACGTCAATTTTCCCGCTGAATCTAGAGGAGAAACTGTATTAGTCCATAAGTGACGTGACACCAAGTCATGTGTCGTCGTTTTCCCCGCTAAATTTAGCGGTGAAACTGAATTGGAGCAGGAGGGGAGAGGAGGGGATGGAGGAAGGGGAGGAGCAGGAGAGAAAAACGGAGAGAGGAAGAGAGGAGGAGAGGTAACGGAGGAGGGCTTAGCGGGGATATTATTTGGTGTAGAGGCCACGCGATGTAAATTTTCCCGCTAAATCTAGCAGAGAAACTGAATTTTTTTATAGGTTACATGACCCCAGGTCATGTGACGTCATTTTCCCCGCTAAATTTAAGGTAGAACTGAATTGGCACAGGAGAAAAGAGCAGGAGGTGGAGGAGGAGGAGCAGGAGACGATAATGGGAGGAGGAGGGGAGGAGGAGAGGCATGGAGGACGGGGATGGGCACGTGCGAGGTAATATATGTATATAAATATAATTAACACCTAAAGATTCAATTGTACGTTTCTTTCTTCCGATTAAAATTAAAATTAACTCTATATATTTATATAAACTCAAATATAACTTGTATAAAAATGAAAAAAAAAAAGATAATTCAGCACTTACCCCAAAGTATGCGGTGGATATAAGTGTAAAACCAATTGAAGTTACGAAATTTAACATTCAAAACTTCGGGCTATTTGCTGTTTATGGTGCAAACGTAATCTTAAGATGACATACGCCGGGTCATCACTTCCATATTCTTTAAAGATCAGGATGATCAATCTTCCATATGCCGTAAATGCGTTCTTGAACCCAAACATTTGATAATATATTCTCCTGAGTTAACGGAAATCGGTTATTTATTTATTTATTCATTTAATCAAAGTACCTCAACGGCTCGTCGGCATTACATGAGGGGGGACTACACCGTCTGACTAGCATTGATAAGGAATGGCAGTGAGCACGCCGACTCCTTACAAACAATAATACACAACTGCGCGCATCAAAATAAACAAAACATTTGCACAGCTGGGTGACATAAAGCACACAATGACACAAAAAAAATAGTGACACACATATCCGTTAACATCTGGAGTAATGCAAAATATTGATAAAGTGCCCAGTTCACAAGGAAAGAACATCGTTACACATTTTTATTTAGCTAAAATATATGTGGTTAACTCTGAACGAAAAAGTATTGCATTGGAAACGGAAACAACGGCCTCGGGAAGACCATTCTAGGCACGATAAGAGCCAGATGAAAACAGTTAAGTTCATTATATACTACCTGCTAACATACGTCTAGCGTAACAGCAATAAAAAACGAGGTCAGGGTTTCCTTACCTCTCGTCCGCTAAAAATATCTGGCCTTCGTTTATTAATTTATTTACATTTTTAATCTACCCTCACAACCTGACATTACATCTTAACACGTGTCAATTAGAGTAATAAAGTAGGCATCCCCCATTATCAGGTATCAAGCTTTAACCTTTCATTTATACGTATGACATCGCTGCGGGATCACTTTCCTATCTCTTTGTTGATATATCAGTTAGCGTTGAACTTAAAGGAGCCGTTTATGATCTTGCCTCGTGTTCTGATACAAAATGTTCTGGATTGTATGAGTTTATTTGATTTTGGTAATATGTTGTCTGATTGCTATCAGAGTTTTGTTTTCATGTAAATAATTCACACTTTAAATAAATACTGTTCTGTTGCTTTTAGTGCTTTTTAAAGCGTGCATATTAATATGCTGCGTTTGATGTACCGTATGTTGTGTTCTGATTGGCGAGGGTTTTTTTATGTTTCGTGTTCTCATTAAACATATCTTATTTTTATATTTTAGGTTCTGAGTCATACTGATTTGCTTTATAGTTACTTTCCTAGTAACACGTTTATGCGTGTGTTATTTTTAAGTTCTAACGCCGTCCCCGCTGAATTGCGCTCAGGCCCTGGGCCATTAAATAAATATAAAACAAAATTAATTAATGCGCGCAGTATAAATTTAGGGTGCAGTCACTAACGGTACCCCAGTGTTAGTCGGCAAGTTGTATAGTTTATTGTCAAATTGAATTCCAATTAAATCTCACGACGGTTGCAGTATTTGCACAAAGGGCACCTGGTTTTCCAGGATGACCAGGATCTCCAGGCCCGCAATATTCCTTGGAGGTGAAGCAGAATTCTTCCAAGACCGGCACCTGTGGACAAATAATAACGTCCCTAAAATTGTTAAATGAAATTAGAAATAGGACATTCGGAATTCATCGCCCCCAAAACAGCGTTAATACTTTTTTTCAGTGTTTCAGTAGTCTAACACGCAAGAAGACGTTTATCTCCCCTCCTGTGGAACAGTAATCTGTTTAATATTTATGGTTGTGTACTTAAGGAGAATCAAAATGTTTCATTATTTTTCTGTGTTTTAAAATCAAGATGGCTTCTCAACTTTTGTCACATAATAGGTTAGGGATTGAATAAAATTAATTTTGGTTTTTGAATCTGGGGGAAATATATCGAGTAATATAGATATAGTTCGACAGAGCGCGAAAAAGAAATGCATGCATCTATATATACTAAAGCTTCTGATGTTACACGTACTGTCAGTAACTGCAATTACGTGCCTATTTACTGGTTTTACTCTAATTCTATTGCTACAGTCGACGGTTGGAATGTTGCAGGTTTAGTCACTTATGTGTATGTTAATGTTTATAGAAATCAAATGGGAAAAAGATAAACACGTTGTCATAGCAAATATACATAAGACATTACCAACTTGTTATAAACCTTATATATATATATATATATATATATATATTTATATATATATATATATATATATATATATATATATATATATATATATACATCGTGACGAAAACACACATACAGGGTCTTTTCTTTTCACAATAAAAATAAACTGCGCATCGCCCAATGCTCTTTCTCCGGCCAAATGTAGTGCGAGGGGCTCCAACCAGACGCCAAAGTTTCAGCAAGTACCGTTATGTTATTCAAAAGTAATGTGATTTTTTCTGAACAATTCAATAGGAAAATTGGCCCATTTCCGCCCGTCTTCAGTAACAGTCGCCATAGAGCTGCTTGAATTAGAGAGATATTTCGGCTGTGATTTTTCTATTGAACATTTCAGAAAGTCACTGATAAATTTGGAATGAAATAACCGCTAGCGCTGATACTTTGGCAAGCTAGTTCGATCCGCTAGCGGTACCTTTTTTTTTTGGGGGGGGGGGGGGGAGTTATCGTTCCACAAAGCGTGAAATATTTATGCACTAAAAAACCTGTACTTTTTTATCGACACGCTGTACTGCTAAGGTTTAGAAAATATGCTCATTTCTAATCCATACGGGTCGAATGGAATAATTTTTATGAAGCTCCGCTAAGACAAAAGCTTTGACGCTTCAAAGCACTGATTCTATTCGAGCCCTGCAATTCATTCGTATAATATTTTATTTTGTACATTTGCAGGACCACGTAAGACGATAAAATGCACTTCCGTACTTGTAAGTTTATATACACGGCGGGTACTGGCATTACACGAATAGTGCAACTAAAAGATGGAGCTGCCAGTGCGGCATGAGTACCTTTAAATAATGTGTCACTTGCAATAAAGTGTAGGCACGTATACATGTGACGACTTTTCATGGAGCTTCAAGTGCAAGACATTATGTTATCTACAAATCACAATGTCAGAATCAACCTAATGTACATGAACATTTGTTATTTATTAAAAAATGCATGGCGATGCCTGTCAAACGAGGCTATGAGCTATAACAAGTGTAATTGGGAGGAATTGGCACATGGACGCTAAGACTAAGTGTGCTTCTAGCTCTGGAATCTGAATCAGGGCACGGAATTACTGTACCAACCGTCTGCTTGATCCAGCTAGCACGACAGCGAAGTGATTCTAGCTCAAAGAGGAGCAAGAGCATACTCTCGCACGAGATCGACGGATTCTGACAGTTGGCCACGCAGCCCACCCACCACTTTCTGTTGCGCATTCGTTTCATGTGTAAACACGTAAACAAATTGTAACTATCTAAAATGTCCTTGTTAGAAGAGCACCCTTTTCCTCTCACCGGAATCCGGGCGTACGAGCTGACCAGCATCGTGTTCCCGTCGGGACCGGTCATGTCGTTCCTGGGAAAGAACTCCACGTTGGGCACGGCCGCCTTGGAAGAAACCCTCGTGTGGCCCGAACCGTCAGCCGATCTCTTCCACAGCTTAGGCCTCTTGGGATCCTCCAAGCTCCTGCTCGACCTTATTGTCCGACCCATTTCGGCAGGCGCGAAATTGCTACCACTGGGCGACACTATATGGCTAGGCGTCGAACAGGTGTCGCAATATTTGCAACGCAACTGCAAGTAAAAGTTCGTTCCCATCAAGACATAGAGCACAGCGATTGAGCTGTAGATGACGATGAGGTGGGACGATTTCGACGCGAAGCCTTCTGCGGTGCTCATAGCCTTTCTTCGGAGGGACGGTTGATGGCGTCTGCAAGTGGTTTACTTTGTTAATTGGGCCTTTTCCTTAGAGCTCTGCACTCACGAGAAATCGTTGGAACGCAGCGTTGGAAAGAAAGCTCGTCGGCGAGAGACCGAGATACCGAAACAAAATAATTTAAAAAAATGAGTGGGACAGCGTGAGCTGCGATTAGTGAGACTGGAGTGTGTCAACACGTGAAACTGGATGCGATAAAGGAGGGGTCTTCCAGTTATAAGACAGTGACGTTTCCGGTAAGCATGTCTCGACCATTCAGCCTCTCAGTGGGGAAAAGTATAAAGAAAAAACGTGTGCTGCAAGATTTTAAAGCTTGGTTAGGAGGCTAATCCAAACTAGAATGGTACACCTGGTGTGCATAATTCTTTTATACATACCATTTTGCAAATCATATGATGTGTCCCTCGTGAGTTTTATGCTGTCAGTTTCAGAAATATAAATTTTCATGTAATCTGGAAGCCAGTGGATGCTTGGGGTAGAAACCTCTGCAGCCGCTACCTTAGAGCGTGCAGTGCTTTTTTCTGGCATAAACGAGTACTGTTGGAGCTCGCTGTTAAAAACATGAACTGAGAATGCCCCACGAATATCTCTCCGTATCGTGACCAGAATATTTAGTTTTTTCTTGTTTTTTTTTCTTTTTCGGAAGCTGAGCTTCTAAAGAACGGAAGAATTTGAATTTTCGCCGTTTTCTAGATGCTCCGGAGGGGTGAATATACCACAGCGCCAGAAATATTACAAAGGTGTAGTAAGGAGAAAGGCGCTCCGTTGGTTGAGCAAAAAAGCGACGTCTTGGGCAGAGGTGTTTTGTCATTCTATATGTGGAACATATCCTGTCTTTCTCTTATCGCTCATCTCGCGTCTTTTACGAATTGCTGATTTAAGCGGTTGCTTCATTAAAAATAAAAGTTTAGAAACGTTACTGGGTTTTTGCCTGGAAATTTCTCTTAAGGATGTTTTAGGTATCAGTAAAACAAGAGTCCAGTTTTACCTATTTTAAAGGAAGTTTACTAAGGAATAACAACCCCAAAAAGAATAAAATCTATTGTAATGGTGTTCGCTAAAATCGCAGAGCAAATTTCGATTAAATTTTATCTAAATTATGATTGCGGCTTTTGTTTTATTTCCGTAAAAAGTTATCGATTGAGAAAGGCGCCTGACACCGTGTAGGTGCATAATTGTTCAAGTATTTATTCTTAATTTCAGCTGCGTGCATGTATATATTTTTTTTATTTCTGTTTAGAAAGATATTTGAAGGTTTACACTTTTCTCATCACCAGACGATGCACTTGTCTTTGTTATTCATGCGTGACGTTTCAGAGCACGAGAATGCCTCTGAAAATTCTTTCGTGTTCTTTAGAACTTCGTTCACTCTGTAACAAGTAAAAGTCGAGAATCACATACAAGTAACGAGGCATTTCTATGTAGTTAATTATCCTCACAAAATTACAATCTAATGAGTGCTTCTGGCGGCCCCAAACAAAGGTAAGTAAAGATAAAGGCGTGTTTTCCAATCCTTATGTTTCCCCATTCTCCAGGATAAAAAAATATCACTAATATGCTGATTGTGCATAGACACTTCCATGTACGTATTAGTTATCAAGCAATTAGTCTGCTTTTTAAGACCAATGAGGAGGATGTAACGTTAACCCACAATATATATGTACTATATATATTTATTACTATGCTTACAATTTTGCAAAACGAAATTAAAATTTCCATTTCAATTTTTCTCTTAATATATCACTTTAATGACTGTCGTGAGTTCTTTACCGTCTCATTTCACCATGAAGTATATACATAAAAATAACAATAAAACAAAACAATGTCTGCCATAGCTTTTGTGGAAGTTTTGAAACTAATCCTCAACTTGCATTTATGACCCAGAAGTATTTTATCTATGAATCTTGGAGTCTGTTGCTATCGTATCAAAATAATAACAAGTCAGCAAAACGCAGCAGCATGTAAAGCGACGATCGGTTAAAGTTTAAATAGCTAAACTTATCTTATGTAATATTTAACTAAAAAACAGACCTCCATCTGGATAAACCTATGGACTCGTATGCAAGAGACATGCATTAAGAGCAGAAATTTATATGCGTTATAAGTAATCCTGTCAAGGTTAAGCAAGGTTCACTTTAATTCTGAAGTGTATTCTAAAGCATACCAGGGGAAATTGCAACGCGTCCTTTAAGTATACCTTGTGAAAATGGTTTTTGTGGTTTATGCTACATTAAAAATACGACACACTACAGCAATGACCAAGCTAAGGGCCATTATATTTATTCTATCGGGGCAGCGTAATAGTTCAAAGCACTTAGCTTAATGTTACAATTATGTATCGCTATGTGACTCTAATTGAGTACTATTGACCAAAAGTAGTGCACTTCAATAACAACTAAAAAAGACCGCAACTTTTATAATGATAATCCAATTAATGCACGAAATCACTTAAACATAAAAAATATACCTTCTCTTTGTTTTACACCCTAGAATACTCTTGAGTTTTAGTTTTTTTTTTTAATAAGGTTTGTCTTTGATTCAATTTATTTGCGTAGGATTAAAAATGCATGTCTGCGTTCGAAACTTTAATTATGACGTCTTCTAAGTTTCTCTTTTTCTCCGTATCTCAAGGCTTAGATTATCTCGGTGCTTTCTAAATTTTGAACGTTCATGTTTTTTGTATGAAATAGTTTGCTTTGATTTTCTCTTTTTTACTCTTGACATCTTAACCTCGGTGTTCGTAAGATCCATGTAGTGTCTCGCGTTTTACTCCGTTCTTGGAAGTAGAAGAATACTTGATGTTTCTGCTTTCCTAAACGTTGTGTTCAATTTTTATTTAGGATTTGTTTGGTTCATAACATTCAGTCGTGTCTCAAAAGTTTTTAAATTTCTGTTTTTCCTCTATTGATTTCAATATTGGGTACTTTTTGTATAATATGTACAACAAGGCTAATAGTTTTCAACTTATATCAGCGGGTGGTGAGCATGATCCAGTTTAAAACGTCTTCATATTACTTGTCCTAACAAACCAACAAAACGGCTTTATTTTGCACAGAATGGCCGGCTTCTTTGGGCATACATTGCACTCGAAACAAATTTAAGTAAAAACAGATACGATTACCTGTGTCGCTCAGGGGAGTGCGAATCAGTGTGGATCTGTATCATGAGCGACTCTGGTCGAATATTCGTGCACCATATCTGAAGAAAAAGGAAAATACATGCGGCAATTCATTTGCTTCTCTGTGGTTAACCTGCTGTAGTCCAGTTCTAGTTATTCGGCTTAAAACGTCCTTTCTACAATTTGAACAGAAAATAACACTACGGGGGGGTTGCAGTCTCCGCATTCAAATAATGATTTTTATAATGCCCAGGTACTATTTCGCTCATATGAGTCCTTAGCACTGCGTATACTTACTTATGTGCATAAACTCATATATGCCAACTTTTTTTTTTATATCGCATTCTGGAATTTTTTTTTTTCTGACCTCTGGAACTAATTTAAAACATTTGTCAATAACACCCGTCCTTCAGTCTGGAGCGAGAGCTTAGCATCGGCAAATTGATCATTTATGGTCCTAGTTTGGGCATATATTACTATTTAGCGAGGTCATTGCGTTGAACAAGCAATTATTCTTCGACATCTTCTAAACCCTGAGATGGGGAACGATAAAAAAATGGACGAACACAACAAACCACAACATTATTGTTTCCTACGAGTGAATGCATTTATGAAACAGAGTTAAAACCTCGAAAATGTTTCACATGCATATGAAACAGGCATTTTAAACAACGTGCTCAGCAGTCATATCTCTAAAGCTAACGGAACAGTATTTCTTGGCATATCACTTGGGGTTGCCCGGAACTGCGTCTATGGCAGTTCAGAGCAACGAATGTCCGCAGTATGTACACTGCTCCCTTCTCTACCTAACACCGGATCAGCTTCCCCGTTTCACCCTCTCACATAATTATAAAGGACCAAAAATCAAATATTTTCATCTTTAAGCCTATTACATTATTAGGATCTGATCGGACACGCCTTAGTGACTTTCGCCGACACACCTCTTATTCCTTAGCAGTGTGTCGGGTTCCAGTTAATCAATCTGTATACTGTCACCTTATTGTATGTGAATGACACGCTGACGAGATAATGGCGAAATGATAAAATAGTAAGTAAAAACATCTATTGAACGTGATTTCCTCCGCACGTTCTGCGCCCAGTTATGTAGTAAGCCAACAAAAACACGAAAACTTATTGATGAATGCGATACACTTCATTGGCACTTTGCCAATTTTTAAATACATGTGCATTTTCGTAGTTGTAATAATTAAACACGCAATAGCTCCAAGACAAAGAAAACCAATGGCCAAAAAAATATAATTGACAATTCTTAATAAAGTCATAATTGCATGATGAAGACAGCAGCCACGTTAGTCTTATTTAAGGAAAAAAGTTCCGATTGAATACAAACACCCTGCATACATAAGTAGTAAAACATTGAAACGAAATAATAATAAAGCGCATATATTTTGCTACAAGTTCCTTAACCTATTAGTTTTCACGTTCTTAAAGGGGTACACAATGGAAACTTAGAACATTGGCATAAAATAATTTAAATATTTTTAATGTTATGCATAATATTCATAAATGATAATCTCATGCCTGTATTTTAGCGGATGGCTATATTTTCTATTCCAAATGATCAATTTTGGAGAGCGACTCAAATCCGACATCCAGGAAAGCAAGTGCTTCTTGGGATATCCGCCGTGCTCATTACGTTGCGTTATAAATGTGACTCGAGCCGGAATCGGGACAGCAACTGATAAAAGTTCATTCCAAGTTATCTTATATACATTAAAATATGGTGCGGTTTAGTCACGTGGCTTACGTGCGTCATGAATATATAAAAATGGCATGCTTTGCCGAGCCATTAATTTAACTTCTAATTTAACTAGTTTAACTTAACCCTTCTAGTTTAACCTAACACCAGTTTCGAATTGGTTAGAGCTAGTATCGTAGCGAACGACTGGTCGTCGAGTCCGCGTCGATCTTTGTTGCTGGAGTACTTCTGGCGTCGAGTCTTCCGTCCGACTCGTACTTGGAAGTTCTGGTGGTCCACTCGCAGTGAGTGGTCTGGACTCTGCGTCCTGGAAGGCGGATGCCGGAGGAAGCCTGACGTTGTAGTCAGGAACACTTTCGAATGACTTTCTCGGTTTTCCCGAACGTCTCAGCTGATTGCGCTGTCTGTGGTGCACCTAGCCGCTTGCCATTCGCATGAAGTAGGAGACTGGTTCCTTGACTGCGGTGAACTTGGCTACTTTCCAACGAGGTCCTGGAACGAAACTTCGTGCATAGACAGAATCGCCTTCTCTGAACCTTTTAACTACCAGGATAGGTGACTCATGCTCTCGGAGACGGTATAGGTGCAGCATGTCGAGCGCAGAGCGCAATCTTCAACCCATCATCAACTCTGCCGGACTTTTCCCCGAGCTAGCATGCCGAGTCGTAGGTTGCATCCATAAAAACGGCAATATCTTCCTCTGGGTATCGCTTCCTGGCTGCTTCTTCAATGATCTGTTCCTTTCCTCATGATTCGTTCGGCTCTACCTTTGCTGGAGGGATGATACGGCGCTGTGAACACTGACCGTACCCTGTTCATCTTCAGAAACCTCTGTATCTGCTCGATCGTGAACGCTGTTCCGTTATCGGAGATGGTAACGTCCGGAACACCATGGGTTGCAAAAAGGTTTGCGCAACACCGCGATTACTGCTGTTGTCTTCATGGAAGGCATGATTTCTACTTCGGCCCAGTTATAATATGCGTCGACTACGACAAGACAAACTTCTCCTTTAACTGGCCCCGCAAAGTGGATATGCAATCGACTCCACGAATAATCTGGTTTTAGCGAAAAATGAGCAGGTGCCTAGCATCACTCTGCCGGTTCCTTCGACATCTGTCGCAGTGACGTACGAAATCTTCGATTTCCTGATCCATTTTCAACCACCACATTAGAGATCTTGCAGATGCCTTCATAGCTGTCATGTCAGGGTGATCTGCGTGCAATGGCCTCAGAACGAATTTCCTTCCTACTTGAGGTATTACTACTCTGTTACCCCACAGGATACAATCACGGTGTAAAGACAATTCCGTCTTTCTCACCTCGTACGCAGCATAGTTGTCCACTTTTGTTGAAGGCTAACCGGAGAGGAACCAGACTTCGACTCTGGATAGCACAGCATCCTTCTTAGTCAGGTCCGCGATGTCCGTTCCCCATAGAGGTGCGATTTCCACGGCTTCTAGAAGCAACACGTCCCTTGGTGGTTGTGACTCGTCACCTTCACCTGGTGCTAGAAGCCGGCTTAACGCGTCTGCGTTGCCGTTGCGAGGCCCTGGACAATACTCAATTGTGTCGTCGTATGCAGCCAGCAGCAGAATCCAGCGTAGCATTCTGGGAGGCATAACTTCTGGTATGCGCTTGTACACATTGAACAGTCTGAGAAGTGGCTGGCGATCAGTTAGTATGGTGAACGAACGTCCAGCCAGGTACTGATAGAACGTTTTTACGCTATAGACAATGGCTAAATCCTTTCTGCCTATTTGAGCGTAGTTCCGCTCACGTGGTTCCAATGTTTTCGAGGCGTAGGCTATCGGTCGCTCAGTTTCATCTGGTTCCGTGTGTGCCAGAACCCACTAACTCAGACTGGTGATGCGTCGCACGACAATACGACCGGTCGCTGCGGGTCATACGGAACGAGAACTGCGTCCGAAGATAACAGTTGCTTGAAAACACAAAAGGCTTTTTAGTGTTCACGATTCCATGACCAGGAGCTGTCTTTATCAAGTAGACAATGTAGGGGTTCCGCCACTTGTGCTTTGCCCTTAAGAAAACGGCTAAACGGCTGTAGAAATATATCAGCCCTAGAAAAGACCGAATCACCTCCTTTGGTGAGGGCGCCGGCGCTTCGTGAATCGCTGCGGTCTTGCTCGGACTAGGATAAACTCCTGGCATTAATTAAGTGGCCCAAAAATTCTATGCTCGTTTAGCTGAATTCGCTTCTTTTTTTTTTTTTTCGTTAGCCCGAAAGCGGGCATTTTGCAGGCGAGTCAAAACTGCTTCTGGCCATTCGACCTGCTCTTCCGTGTACCCCGAAATCAAGATATCGTCTAGACAAACTTTGACCCCCGCGATGCCTGACAGCAGCGTGTTGATAACTCGCTGAAACAGCCACAGTGCAACAGAAAAGTCGAAGGGAAGTCTGCGCACTTTGTAGAAGCTTTTCATGGTGTTCACGGTTAGGACTTCTGCTGACGCGTCATTGATCACGAGCTGCTGATACGCCTGAGCAAGGTCGAGCTTTGTGAAGAAACTGCTGGAGCCCAACGTGGAAAGCACCTCATTTGTTGTAGGCAACGAATAAACGCTGCTTTTAACAGATTCGTTAACTGTGTTGCGGTAATCGCAGCACAAGCGTAAGGATCCATTCTTTTTCTTGCGACCACAATAGGCATTGCCCACGTCGAAGACTGTACTGGCTCTACACACCTTGCTGCACTGGGCTGTCAATTTCTTTTGCCACGTCATCTTCCAGCGCGAACGGCACCAGCCTGCTTTTCAGAAAGACTAGCTGGGCGTCTTCTTTGAGATCTATGTGCACTGGATTGTGATTGCAGCCTGGCAAATCCTTTGCAAACACTTGTGAAAATCGTTCAAGAACGCCCGTGAAGCTTTGTTAGGTTCTTGATTTCTTGAATAGTACTGCTCAAAGCTTTAAACCAGCTTCTGCCAAGAAGGCTGCTCCCTTGTACAGAACAGTGACTAGGAACGTTTTTTGTTCCTCAAATTCTCGAACAGAAAACAGGTTTTCTACTTTGGAAAGTTGTCGCCAGCTTTCCGAAGTATAGTTGCTGCCCCGATACCGAGTAGAGCCGAGCCAAAACCGGGACACAACTGATAAAAGTTTATTCGCATTATCTTATATGCCTTGAATTATGGCGCTGTTCAGTCACGTGCCTTACGTGCGTCATGAACACATAAACACATAAAAATAACATGCTTTGCCCAGTCATTACAGTCGCCTGTCTCTTCGCAGCCAAGGCTGCCGTGGTTAGCAGCTTTGCCATTTGGTAGCATCAACGCAGTTTTAGCCTCGCCTGCTGAAGTACTCAAGTGCTGTACAGTTGGTAATTTGTGGCGGCATCAGAGCCTCCGTCTCGGCATTTACTTTGATCGCCTGTCGAATTTTTCGCGTTGACTTATCCCCACGAAAGTGACGTAGATTGGGATTGTACTAATGACGAGCAAAACATCAGCGATGACGAAGACACCGAGCGACATTGATGACGCCTTACAGGCGGTTGGGCCTAGGACAATACTTGTTTTATCTGTCTGCTTCGTCGTCGTTATTACCAACCGATCCAACGTGGTCTAGGGTGCCTTCACGTGCGCTTTTTTTAGGGTGATGACATGATAATTTTGTTCCGAATGGTTTCTTTTCTTTATTGTTCTGAAGCTTGTGAAAAGGCGTTTCCCTGCACGTACTCTTGGAGCTGCCAATGACGATGTTTGTTACGACGACGGTGTGTGCCACGGCGAGAATTTGTTTTCAACGATTTATTTGCATTTTCTTTTGTAAGCGCATACTGTCGACATTATGTAGTGCAAAGGATGTCATCATGCTAAACATAAGGACATTGCGGCACCCTAACGTGGTCAACTCTGCGTTGACTTTTGCCTTCAAAGCTTACTGATTGCGTTCAAGCCCACACCGCTTGAACGAGTGAACCAAACTCTCGAGGTGTGGCGGTCGTGTCAGGAAAGCAACATCTTGAAATTCGAATAGGTTTTGCTTTCCCCTACAAAGTGCTATATCGCGATTTTTTTAAACCATTTTTTTTTTGTGGTCTAAAAATTTATGATTAATAATTTGTGTGTACGCACAGAACAATGCCCATATCTAGGAAAAAATTTTGAGGGCTCATATTTCGTTTCCGCACCCCTTTAATATCAAGCATTGTTATGAATTCCAGCGATAGAACTAGTATGTTTATTTGGCAAGGTACTTACCATTGCGTAGGATGTAAAGAAAAGCTGATCACTGGTGAGGTTCAGTCCTGGCAAGGAAGGCACTTTTTCATATTTTGTTTTGCTAGCCCAGCGGCGGTAGGCCTAACAACAACAAAAAACAACATTAAATGTCATTAATAAGATGGTCTTCCAGCCCTTGAGAATATTTTTGCTATGAATGCTTTAAGGATTCATACAATGTGTGGAGTTCATTCAGAATAAGCCTCATGCTACGAAGTTTGCAATCAACGTGCTACCGAGACCAATAGATCAAAAAGCTACACAAGACAGAATTCAAGGAATTTAGGTAATCATTTTCGCTGTGCAGACTGCTTATCCAGGAGATAGACTGAAATCTCACATCTTTGGTATCAGTTTTTTTAGCTATGGAGTTTTATTAACCTGTTTAGAGGAGAGTTGTGTTTTTACACTATTGAGGCTCTGAGCTTTGATCCACAATTACCACTTTCATGACTTAACGGTTTACCTTTACTATACTCATATTTAAATTGAACGCTCAAGTAAGACCAATTGTCCTACAACCAGGAGACGAATCGTCTTGAGGTAACACGTCGTCAGTGTATTTGAAATATTCTTAAGTCTAGAGGGCCTGGGCCACCAAATACAAGCAAAGGTTTCTTACTGGCAGTTTAATTTCATTTCATTTCATGTAATGTATTTACCCTTTAAGTTCCAGGACATTACAGAAAAGGGGTGGATCGTTCACATCTGAGTAAATAAAAAAAAACACTGAACCAAAAAAAAAAGAATCAAAAATACACACAAGAGGTTAGAACAAAGCAACTATAAACACAATTGATCAATAACACGCACTCATGAACAATCAATTAGTGCAAACATGAAGTATACATAGGAAAAGGAAAAACACACACAAGCAAATAACTACTCTCCGAGATGCAAGACTAAACAAGCGCGTAATGCGTACGGGCCCATGATAGAAGCAAAGTTTTACGCCAAACACATATTCAAAAATCGCCAGTAAAAAAAAAAAAAGTTATTAAATTCGTTAGTAGATCCAGAGATCCGTTGCACAAAGAGTTTGATAGTCTGCGTGAAGACCGGAGAGGAGGTTGCTAGAGATTTGCTATATTGTCCGGATGATAGTGGTATATTTTATTAAAAAGGCAGAATCGTGAGCATTGACGGCGAGTGGCTAATGAAGCTAGGCTTAAATGGGACTTTATAGTTTTCACACTGTCGGTGCGATCGTATCTAGAGAGGATGTAGCAGGTTGCACGATTTTGAAGGGCTTCAAGCTCGATGAGAAGGTAATCTTGACGGGGGCTTCAATTGGCAGCGGCGTATTTAAGTTTTAGTTGCTCGAATGTTTCATATGCTAGCTGGCGAAAATTCACAGGAGCAGAGTGAAGGTAACCCCTGATGCAATCCAGCGTTTTTGAAGCGGCGAGTTGAATTTATTCGATGCGTGCGGTCATTGATAAATCAGATGCGAGGTGCACATTATGATACCTAAATGACGAGAGAGCTTCAGTGGGTTGAGCGCCAAGAAAATATGTGCATGATGAAATGGAGCGATTGCAGGTGAAATGGACGATCTTGCATTTTTGAGTAGTTCAGACGCATAAGTCAGTCGAAGCACCAATTCATAATGGCAGCTGAGTAGTTATGTAAGAGTAGATGGTCATCAGGTGAATTGATTTGCGGTAAACACACAATCATCTGCTAAAAGACGCACTTCAGAAGAAAGGGAGCGTGGGAGATCGTTGATAAAAATTAAGAAAAGTAGAGGGCCGAGAACGGAGCCTTGGGGATCTCCAGACGTAACGTTGCATAAGCCAGCTTCTAGATTGTTTACGACTGAAAACTGTATCTTGAAAGAAAGAAAACTGTGAACCCAAAAAAGGCCTTCAAGATATCTCAAAGCCCTTTCTTTTCTTTTTTTTTTTTTTTTGGGGGGGGGGGGGGGGGGTGCGGATCTCGTAGGCCTTTTTTGAGTGCGGGACCTAAAAAAGGCCATCGAGAGATCTGAAAATATCGCATCGGTCTAAAGATCAACTTCGAAGTTTCCATGTATTTCGAGGGTAAATTTTAGTAACTGGGTCTCGCAAGAAATCCCTCTTCTGAACCCATGTTCACGGTCAAAAGAGGGGTTTTCATTCTGATGAGGCATGACATGAGTAGAAATTATATGTTCAAAAAGGTTTGACGGAATACAAGTTAGCTATATGGGTCTGTAGTTCGAGGACAGCGAACGATCACCGTCCTTTTATACCGGATAACTTTTTCTACCTCTAAGTCAGATGGAAGACATACGTGTACAAACAATTGGGTGAATAATTATAAATAAAAAATTAATATAAATTATAATATAAAAAGCTCGTTTGCGCCCTTACTGTTTGAATAATAATCTGAGAAAATTACTAGATATGTCCTTCGTTTTCTTGAGGATTTTGAATGAAATGTTATCGGGTTCAGAGGACGACCAAACTTGGAGACGATAGATAATGCCAGCAATACCGACAGTGGAGATATCTATAGGGCCATCGTATTATAACACGCAGGGAGTACTGTTGCAATGTTCCAAGGGCTCTCGCAAGTGAAAAAAAGGGAAGTACTCGTTCATTACTGAAAGGCGGGAAGTTTTGAGGATAGGGCAGCTGTGGTCATCTATGAACCGGACAGACCTAGAGCCGTCAATCAGAGAAACCAGGGTCCAAAATTTGTTTGGATTACATTGCATGAGAATGAGTAGGTCTGGCTCGAAGTATTTTTGCTTTACCACTTTTACCAGGCGGGTGTATTCCTGAAGACCATTATAGTATGAGTCCCGTGCTAGAGCAGAGCGGTTTAGTTTTGCTTTTCTGAAGAAATATTTTTTTCTTGTTTCCCAGAGACTTGATACAATTGTTATACCGGGGACGGCGGCCATCGCTGCAAATCCGTATCAATGGCACAAATCGTTGAACAATATCCTGCAGGTCATTCTCAAACAGGAGCCAATTACATTCACCTGTTCTTGAAGTGTGTGTTACAAGGAATGCCTCATAATGCGTTATCAATTCTCGATTGATTGCAGCGTGATCGGCCCTGTTAAAATCATGTGCCATTATCGAGACAGGGGTTTTCGCATTTGTATTCTGCACTAGGGTGACTTGCAATAATATGTGATCACTGAAACCATTACTATAATCGATACAGGAAACAAAAAAGGTTGACGTGGAGAAAACAAGATCCAGGATATTGTTTAGTAGAGTCGGTGAGTCAGCCATTTGTGATAGCTTGAACGTTAAACATAATTCAAGAAATTTTCGCGATTCACGAGAGACTCGACCATCATGTATCCGGGAAGTTGAAGTCACCAAACATCAAATATCGGCATGCGAGAACTGATGTATTATTCCTAGCAACGTAAAGTGCAGTTTGGTGGTGAAATTACCATCACTGTTGGGTGGCCTGTAGCATGCCACAAGTGCAAGTTTGATATGAGCAGAGGAAATACAAATATTGATAAGTTGGAAAGAGAACATTTATAAGTTGTAATTTACAGGCCTCTTGATAAACTCCTCTTTGCAAAGTGAATAGCCTATTTATAAAACGTGTAAATATATGGTCGAAATAAACTTTTCTTTGAAACGTTTCGCATACTACGCAAGGTTTATCTCAAAAATGGTTAACTGTCGAGCTTGTTTTTACGTACTTTTAAGCAAATTAGCTTGAACTTTAGAACTATACTTGAACACGGAGAGAAAAAGAGGACAGACGAGGACAGACAGGCGACTACCAAAGGTGTTCAGTGTAAACTAGTTCTTCCTTGCGCGGTTTCTTTTCATTGAAAGGCCATAATATAGAACGAGAAACATATTATATAAATAAACCTATTTCACTAATAAAACGTTTTACTGATAATTAGACTTATAAAAAGTATACAGAAACATTATGCATAAATACCTAAAGTTATTGTTTGTTGTGTTATTGTTTATTGTGTTATTGTAGCGCAACTGACCCGCCACAAGCTCGTGCTGCTCTTGTTCGGGGCATGACACTCCGCAGATATTATCTTTCATTTCTTGTGAATGGTGAGAAACGGGGTGCTCACGCATTCTTTCGCGGGTTCCTCGATAGCGAGCCCCGCGAGCATTTCCCGGACACGAGGATTGCTATTACACTCAATGATGATTGTGCTGATGAAGGATACAGTGCACTGACATTTCCTGAAATGGGTGACCAGATGTCCTGCCGCTGTTGCCTTAAAAGACGCTACATGCTGGCGGGCTCTGACCTTGATGAATCGGCCCGTTTCGCGATGTAGCACTCCCCGCATAAAAGGGGAGTGTGGTACACACCACTCCTGTTGTGCATGGGACATAGTATGTTCTTTGGGCAGTGTCATGGTTTTTTCCTCTTTTGTTCTTCTGTTAACTTGTCTGCACACGAAGTACAATTTGCTGGGTGCAGATCATACCACCTGAACGAAATTTCTTGCGCATTCGTTTTGAACTTGTGCGTAAACCCGTGAATGTAGCGTAGCGCCCGACCTTCCTTCGAGATTTATCTGCGTTTTCACTGTTCGACGTTGTACGCTTCAAGTTTTTGCAGATGTTTTCACCATGAGGCTTGTGGGATATCCGAATTCTCGTAGTTATTGCATCTTTCTTTCAAAGCTCTGCCCTATTTGATGTTTACACGGCTTAAACAAGGCAGAGTCTTGAGCAGTGCTGGCGACACTTCTTTACAAAGTTATTGAGTGGTCAGATGCTCATGAATAAAACCCTTCTGCTGACCTCGGTTTTTGCCTCCAACATAAGTGACCTTGATTAAAAATTAGCACGAGGTCTTAGGATTTTATATGCTAGTCCACAGATTATTGATGCGTGAGAACCAGGTCACGGTAACTTTTTCTTAAACATAGCAGAACTGTATATATGCATTCGTTACCTCTGCCATCCTCCCCTGTGGCAAAAAGTATTAAGAAATTGGTCACATATCGGAAGATGTCCGTGACCGTTGTATCTTTCAGATTGTTTTTAATATTTTCAGCACATGCCGCCACGTACAAATCCCGTAACTGCGGCGCCACCCGAGATTCAATGCACACTTAGCTCCTCTGTAAAAATCGTTGAGCTTGATGTTCTACAGAGTCGCGGTTAAATATACACCTAATAGACCTAAAAAGGTGTCAACATTTAGCCCAGCTGCGTTCGGAAATGATGTGGTGCCCTGCTTCTCAATGGTAGATCGGAGGATTTCATTAAGGCTTGTTCGTGGCATCGAATAGTACACATCTTGAACATCTATTAAAAATTCAGATGCGACACCAGCTCAATTATTCTGAAGATCTGTAATCAGTTGCTCCCAATTCTTGATTTTGTATGGATCATCGCATTGTGCCACGATCCGGCGATTGGCCATGAACGTAAAGAAATCGATGTCCCATGTTCCTCTTTCCGACACAATGACCCAGAAGGGCCTGTTCTTCGTCTTTCTCTTTTTTCTGCATAGGCTGCTTAGGTCATTATTGTCATGGAGGCTTAAGACTGATTGTTCAGTTTTCTTCTTGTTGTTCTTTCGTCCACATGAATTAAGTTTTTTCAAGTGGCGGCAGAAGCTTTTTTTCTCCATCTGTCTCGATCTAGGACAACATGCATGCCTCCCTTCTCAGAAACTCATAGACTAAGTTCTTTGCTACTTAGCTTATGTGCCTTCGAACATAAGCTCATACTTGCTGTTCCTGGGCTTCTTTGCATTGCGATGCAATCAATTCCTTCGCTGATCATCTTTATTAGTGTTCCTGTATAGTTCTAAGGTTGAAGCTGATCTATTTACATTTGTTTTGAGAGCTATTTTTATAACCACAGCAAAAAACTATCTTCAGACAAAATTAAATTAATGAAACTGGCAGCAAGCATTGTTATATTGTTGCCTTCTTCAAGTAGAAGTAACAGAAGTATTACACCAATACATGCGTGTAGTTATAGTTCAATTTCCTGCGACAGCATCTTCCCAGAAAGAAAGGCGTTATATAAAGCAAATATTCTTCTCGTTCTAACTCACACGGTAGGCTAGAAGAAGTCCTCCATTGTCCGCGATGTTCTCGTTTTTTGTCAGGAGTCCATTGAGCTGATCGTAAAAAAAAAGCAAAAAAAAACAAACACATTATTCCTTAGTTAAATATAGCAAGAAATGAAACCTCCGAACCTCTGGAATCAAAACGAGGTCACGTACATTAACGAATGCATTTTATTTATCGGCGTGTCGATGTGTTTTCCAATCAAGTGCAAACTATTTTGTGTTCGAAAGTTCCAATTCATTTTTTCCTGCTTACGAGTATACGTGCTACTCTCAGTCTAGGTTAAGCTAGTGATGCAGAATTATAAGGCACAACCTTCAATCTATTTTTGGGATGGCAGATATTCAGATTTCTTGGAAACTTATATGTTTTATAGAAGTCTCCCTATTTATTAGTTTTTCTTGTTAATATTGTAACAAGAAAGTCACCACTGCCGATTTTAAATGATAATTCTGGCGTTGCACAAAGTATCTGTAAAGTCCGGTTTCTAAATTTATTAATAATTTCTAAAGCATGTTGATGATATTCCATTACAGTAGCCTGGGGAAATTAGAACAAGGACATTAGATAATAAATAATACTAGAATTAACACTGGATTTCACACAAACTGTTGTGCGTATTTGCACGCACAATAACTTTGCCTTGCAAAGTTATTGTTTTACTGAACTGCGCCTAAATATCCTCCGCAACGTTTTGTTCTCATAAACTTTACAATGGCGTACGTTGGTCGATGCGGTGGCGAATATTTGGACTAGATGCACAACTCATATTATAGGGTATTAACCGGGTGCCTCGTGCTAGTTTTTGCAAGAACAGGTGTACCTTAAACAAAACAAGGCATGAATATTTCCTTGTAAATTAAAGCAAGTTTGTGGTCTGATTCCAAGGGTGACGGCAATTATTTAAGTTAATTTTTTTATCTATAGCACAACTTAAAAAAAAACACGAACTCACATTTGCCATACGGCCGTTCGTACACAGCAATAATAATAACCAATGTTGTGACACCCTTAATCAAATTTTCAATTAAGCTTAATGGTATCAGACAATATGCCATTTTTGTATATATAAAGATAAGACCAAATGAATAAAATTCAAAGCAAATCTCTTAAAATTAGACAAGGTAAAAGTTCCAAATCCGTACGGGACGACACACACATAGGTACTGTGTATTTTTGTCAACTACTTAGCCCCTCCCTAAGGAACGTTTCACAGCGTTTAACAATCGCCAGCTCAGTTTCATCCTTGCATTTCGTTCGGTTCACAATCATTTGTCAACAAAAAGTGTCCCGGTGTTTCTCAAGATCTCGTTGCTGATAGATATATTCTGTCTACAGACTAAATAAAAGTCGTAACTGGAACATCTTCGCAATAAATACACCATTACGTTGCAAAGCCAAAACAACATTTTAGGGTGCTTAAACTGTACGCTCGCATCAAGTTTGGTGCGAAACGCAGGCATTCACTAAATATGCTGCAGCCATATGGGATTTAAAACTGGGCACGAGTATACGGACCTAAGAGCGTAAGTCTATCGCGTTTTACCTTTTGGCGTAATATAACCTATTATAATTGTTCTAGCCTCTATAGAAACGATGAGCAAAGCGTATTTTCTATTTCATCTAGGTTACTTTTCTACAAATATTAATGTTCCCATGGCGTCAATGTGCAACACACCATTGCGTTTAACTAAGAAACTATAAAATTACGATAGCAATAAAAACATGTCGGCCTTGCGTGAGCGCTTGAACATCTGGTTGCACGCCCCACTTCGTTGGACAGCTTACGCCGCCTAGCTGACACTGGTGGAAGAGTGCGGCCGGTCCGCCTTTCACCGCCACCGCTGCTTTCAACAAGATGGCGCAAGTTGCTGCTTGATAGCATGGTGCTAAGCGGACCTCAGTTACACGCGCGCCGCAACATGCAGCAGCTATGCCCGCCAGGTGAGCTGTCTACGCATGAGCAAAGCAAAGAAACAATTGCCGCACGGGCCACCAGGAAAGACGTCGTGGTTTTTTGCAGACACATCGAAAATTAATATATTTCGTGACGAATAGATTTTTTATTGATGTCATTGTCCAGGTAAATAAAGAGCACCGTGGACCTCGGGTCTTTCGCGTCCTCAGTTGGCAGTATGCGATCCCATGTCGCCAACAAGTTTGCACACAGTAGTTGGCCATATGATGATTCTTTTTATTTTTTTATACATTTTAACATCGCACTTTGAACGATCGTCGATTTCTTATTTTTCATCTCCTCCTTTTTCGGGGTGTTCGTTTAACGTATTCTATTGCATCTCGTATTCTAATCCTGTAATTATTTACAGCACTTCAGAATGTGAAATATGTTACTGCCATATAGCGTTTGGTCCTTCTATCACAACGATCAAGGTCGTTTTTATATATCGTCAAGATATATTCTATCTCTTTCAAAATTGTTTGAAAACAAATCGGTTTTTTATTTGGGTCAAAGTAGCTCATAAAAATTATTTAAAAAAATAAAGTTCTGAAACTTGTACTGAAAACGCATAATTATAATCGAATACAGATTTGTTCGATAATAATTAGTCATGCACGATTCAATTAATAATGCACGTTTTTGGAATGTTCGCGCCCGATATTTTAGGTCGTTTGTCGCCTGCCACCTTTCTTCTACAAAACACGAGAGCGCAATAGTAGCTTTATGCACTTGTTTCAAGGTTTATCTTTTAGTTGAACATTCGCTTTAATCGGTACCACGTATGTACAAGCCAGATCACATGAGCTGCCATAAATATGGTGCTGTGAAACTTTCGTTTACTTGGTTAGAAATTTGTTAATTTAGGTATATCTGATTTGATACAAAAAAATACTTTTGTTTAGACATTCATATTTATTGTCAGCCAGTGGCACCGCCGGGCACAGTCAAACACCACGGGGTGGTGATCAACCCGCAGTGCTTATATGGTTCTCATGCAGCTCATGGTGCTCATACCCCCTTAGGCGACAAAGAGGTGTATAGAGTTATCACCTTGTACTCACTTTTAAATGAACTCTCTTGTCTGCAACGCTACCATATTGTTCTTCAAAACATTTAACCTTTTGCAAAAATGTTTCTTTGGTTGCATTCGTCCACCAGTTGCGAATATTACCTTCTGCATCGAACAGACTACCTGTGAAAAACAGAATTATACATATTTTCTGTGAATGGTATATATATATATATATATATATATATATATATATACCGGGAAAAGTTAATAAGTCAAAAATGCGTACTGTCAGAGTTACTAATTCGAAGTTTATCTGACGTTTCGAGCGGGGACCGCTCTTTATATATATATAGTGTGTTTTTTTATTCTTACAGATTTGTTTAAAAAAAGCCATGAAAGCTACATTGATGTGGTTTGTGCGAGTGAGTCATACGCCCGGTAGGACATTAGAGGGGTAGCTAATCTTTCCGATAACTCGGCTAACTAATTAAAATTTGTCAGTTAACTTTTAATTAGGGAAAATAGTTATATGGTTCCAATTAGAAATTTGCTGAGCGTCGTCCAAATCCTTGAAATCAGTAATTTCTAGAAAGAGTCTGAGCACGTGAGAAGCGCAGTAGTGCGCTAAAGTTACCACTCGTGTAGCAGGTACAAGGCTGGGGCTAGATAAGAGACGGAAAAATCGCGCGGGCACTTTAACGCAACCGCTAGCCTTGTACCTGTTCCACAAGTGGTAACTTTAGTGCACTCGCTTCTCACGCGCTGATAGTCTTTATTAAAATGACTTATTTTGTGGTTTTCAATATCGCCCGACAAGTTTCTAATTGAAACCATATGCCTATTTTAACTGATTAGATATTTAATTATTTTTTAAATTAATTAGCCGACTTATCGCAAAGCTTAGCCACCCACATAATCCCCCCCCCCCCCCCCCCCCGGGCGTATAACTCACTCGCACAAACCGCATAAGTGTAGCTTTCATGTTTTTTTGTTTTTTTAACAAATCTGTGAGACTAAAAGAAAAACACGCTATATATATATATATATATATATATATATATATATATATATATATATATATATATATATATATATATATATATATATATATATTCGGATAAACGGCTCAATGATGCTGCAGCTCTATCTATGCCACAATAAAATGGTAAATTTACGACGTGGAGTCGTTATGAATTCAATTTAGTGTCCATTCTCAACTTTCCACAATATCAACACATCGGCGAATGAACTAAAATAACAATTTCAGCTTAATAACAACAAACATCGAAATGTTCCCCGGAAATATTTTTGATGACAGTCAGAAATATTATTATGCAGTAATTCAAGTTTTGGACGTATGCAGTTTTTATTCCACGTCTCTACAATTATTTTTGCATTGAATTCTATAGGCCACATTTAGAAAATTGTGAATTTCTGCTTTGTTTGACAATATATTCCAATGGTCCCGAGAACAGTAATTTCTTGAGTTTAAACTACGCAAACCAATAATAATATCGATATTTCCTTAAAATTATTTTATTACACAAACTGTCCCATATAGTTGGCCATGTCGGCTCTTTAACGTGACATGAAGAGCACGGATCATCTGTGATCATAGATATTTTCCATGACAAGTGAAACATGTTAAGCATTCATAATTGCCTTCTTTTTTGATGCTTGTGGTTTTCGTTGTTGCTGCCTTGATTATATTTTGTTAAAGATTTTGATAATGCTTACAACTAAAACTATGATAACCCGCCCGCTTCGTGGTAATGGGACAAAAAGCTCAATAAAATATTGTTATAGTTGTTTAAATAAATTTAAAAACCATTGTTCTCTTGCTACTTTGTGCACCATTGTTTGCGTGTTTGCCTGATTTTCTATTGCAATTAATTTTTTAAGGAATACAAAATTTTAAGTACAAACTAGTCACTAATACAGCAAAATTCTTGAAACCTTCCTTATCTATGAGGTATTCAATATAGTCCGTATTGTTTTAAGTAACAATAATTCAATCAACAATAAAAGATTTATTGAATGATTCCCCGATAAAACATAAGGGCAGAACTGTTTTGTTCTTGTTATTTAAATAATTCGCATATTGTTACAACAAACTTTTTATCTACATATCGTACCTAATGATTCTCTAATCGAAATTTTTATTATTTGCTATATTTGGATTATTAGTATGCTCAAATATGTTACGATTATTTTCATAAATCACACCTTCATTTAGCGTACGCGTTGTGCCAACTTTATTAAGAAGAGGCGGTTCCACAAGCTATTTTTCGTTACTGTGTATATTGTAAAAGTGCATTGCAAATTCCTTAAAAATTGTGGTAATTTACTGATTTTGTCTAGGACTAGTTATGATAATCTTAAAATTTAAGACTGTTATCAAAAATATTTGCATATTCAAACGAGAGCAACCTGTCATGCCTTTTTACTGAAAAGATGACATCCAACAAAAAGCAATTGCATGTCAAAACCCTCTCTAGACATATGAATAAATGTTGTTTTTATGACACGACTAGTCGTAATATACAAAACAAAGAGGATAATAAGTCGGCTTGGCTTCCATAAAAAAAAAACTAAACGCATTATGAAGTCGCTTGTCTTGTTTTTTTACATGCCGGGAAATTTTAATACACTAGCTATTCCAAACTACTGGCATGCTGCGTAGCCGCGACTCCTTTGTGTTATTTTTATTTTTTTAACCAAGTAGAGTACTAGTGTCAATGATATAAAATAAATTAAGACTTTTTTTGTTTTAGGCGTTGGTAGCAGTGTTCCTTTACGCTCGTTTCGGTCAGAATGTGTAGGGAACGCTATTGCTCTTAGTGACCGCCTGAGTAGCAACGCAGTAACTGTTGCTCATATTGGCATCCCTTCGTCACAAACCGGTTAACACTTAAGTGTCGTGCTATGCCACTTACGGTGATACCAGAGCTATTTTTTCTCAAAACACCCTTCAAAAACTGTTTTGATATACACAAATTTTATATGCATAATATATCTGCTCCTCCGCCTATTCGCCGTGAAATTTAGGCAATGCTTGTGATTTGGTTCAAGGTCCTAAATGTTCTACCCAAAGAAGGATGCCGCCTTGATTTTCAATCACTCTTTAACGTGTGAACAAAACCGACGCCAACGTCGGTTTGCGACGACAGTCGGTTGAAACCGACACGACAGTCGGTCGACTGAAAAAAAAAAATGAAAGACGTTTACAATCCCCTGTAACGCCGAATTAGAGCGCAGCTCTTGAGGAGGAGGAGGGGAAGGTACGGAGAGGAGGCTATGCCCCTTCTCCTCTCCTGCTTGCCTCCCATTTAGGGGAACATTTTCCGCTAAATTTGGCGAAGAGTTTTTCCAGCTAAATTTAGCGGGAAAATGTTTCCGCTAAATTTAGCCAGGGAATGTTTCTGCTAAATCTAGCGGGAAATTTACCCATAATGCACCGCGCGGTTACGCCGACGGTGACGCCGAAGCCGCTCAAGCCGGAAACGGGCGCCTAAGAGCTGCGCTCGAAAATGTTTCGGAGATGATGATGTAATTTTAAATATTATATAATAAGGGAGAGCGTTCGGTGGCGACTATCGGACTTGCTGAGCACGTGTGGGAGCTCTAACTACCCAGCCGTTAGCCTCCTTTAAGGATGGCATTCAAAAGCTTGTGCCACGCATAATAATTTGCAAAAGCTTCCAACTTTCCAACTTTATTTCATGCCCATATCATCAATTCTTCCAAAAATCAGCCATCGTACTATATATAGTATGCGTTCTTACTTGTCTCGTCAAAGGCATGCGTCACTTCATGGCCAATAACTGTCCCTACTGCCCCAATATTTATGTGCCTGTAAAAATATAATTTTTATGATGTAATGTTTCACAGATTCCGATAAAATCATAAAATCATGAACAATATTTTCTGGTTAATTCAAGATCTTTTTCGACCAGTTTAAAAAAAATGAAAGAGGTTTACAACTTCCTGTAACGCCGAATTAGAGCGCAGCTCTTGAGGAGAGGGAGGTAGGGAGATACTGAGGGGAGAGTATGCTCCACTTCCTCATCCATACCCCCTCCTCCTCCCGTGCTCCTCCCTCCTCATGTCATCCTCCTCTGTTCTTTCCTGCTCCTCATCCCTCCTTCTCCTCTCTTTCTTTCTCCTCCCCTCCGCCATCCTCCTTCCCCTCCTTCACTCCTCCCCCTACCTCCTCCTCCTTCCTCCTCTTCTCCTTTCCCTCCCCCTCCTCCTCGTCCTCCCCGCGCGTTGCATCATGGGACGCTTCCCATAATGCAACGCGTGACCCTCGTGACGTCACGTGACCCTTGTGGTGTCACGTGGCCCTTGTGACGAGACTCGCAGCGTCACGAGTCCCGCGCGTTGCATTATGGGACATTTCCCATCATGCACCGCGCAGTTAAGGCGACGGCGACGGCGACGCCGACGCCGCTCAAGCTGGAAACGGGCGCCTAAGAGCTGCGCTCTAAAAATCTTAACGTACCTATGTCAATATTTTTCTCTTAACTTTAGCACTCAATCCCTTCTTTTCATATAAAACGCAATAAAAAACACATGTACTACGGATTGAGAAGCTGAATAATCTAATATTGTATATGTATAAAAGTCTTAAAAAGAAAATATTGATAGTCATGTTTTTTTCTATTTCTGATATAGGAGTAAACGTGCTAACGTTTCGTTTGTGAACTCATAACAATATAGTCTAAAACTGGTCACGTTTACGTTGGTGATGCACAAATGTTTGCGCAGATATCTTTTGCAAATAAACTCACATTGGTAAGCCGTACTCGAATAAAGGTGGTTGAAGTATTCCCGCAGGAATTACTGAAAAAAATAAACATATGTTTATTCTGTACATTTACAGAAAACAAAAACTCTCCGTGGAACGAAAAACTGACAGGTATTAAGAAGTTGCGTTAACAAATTTCAGGTCATTCGAGTAATTATTTTTTATACGCTGCAAGGAACAATCCTTTTTTCCCGCCGCTTCAAAAAGAATCGTATAAAAAAAACTAAAATAAATGTTCAAGACTCGTCATGTTCGTCTCGTCAGAATTAGGATATTGGTGACTTGACGCTCCAAGTTAATATTGTTCAATGGCGGATCCTTAAAATAAAACAACAAAGCATGAACGGAAAAACCAAGTTTTGCAACGCCCTATAAACTCCGTAGGTGATGTAAACATAGGAAGATCAATCCCGATGTTTCGCGTGTATCATCATAATTCCGAATACAAACACACCATTTTATAGATACCTCAAAAACAAATGTAGTTAGAATATACATCTCATCTCCTCGCAACCTCCTTCGTAAAACGGCTGTACGTCATTTAATATTATATTTTTTTAATCCTTCTATACAAAGTATACTCAGGCAAAAATCACGATATCACATATGTTCAAACAAGGTGTTTCGCTGGTGTATCTTAACCCAACAAGAGGCGCTTTGGCGTTCCGTTTTTTAATAATATGCTTTGTACAGTATGCATATTGGCACCCGTAAATATATAAAAATATAATACTTTTACACGTCAAGTCATCGATACGGAAACATGAAGCACATTTTTTTATTTAAATACGAAGCTTCTGACAGAAAGTCTTCCCAAGTCAGAAGAAACAAGAAACACCGTTTCGTGTCTTTTTTTTAGGATCAACACTAATGTAGGAAAGACGAAATGTTAGAAACTTACTGACTGAGTTTGACAGCGGTGAATAAAAGGCATTCCCGGTAGCAGGACCTGATTCCCAACTGTGAAACAGGCAGGAAGGTGAAATATTTGCTGTAAATATTGACTCCGTTATATCTATTGAGTGTTATTTTTTTTTTCTTGTAGCATCCCAAATGAAAACAGATTACTAGCATAATGCATGTTGGCCCTGCGCTAGGTTGGGGGCCACGGGGACTACTCAAAAAGCGGCGAAATCAATCAACTATATGGCGAAATAAATAAATAAACTTAAACAAACCTCATCAGGTTCACAAGGACTGTGAAGCCCACAACATGTTGTCCTGTATTTGTCAGAATAAGCAATATTTTGCATATTTATTTTGGACGAACTCGAATGCTGGGGTGGAACGTAGATATACAAAATGCCCCTCCCGCCCCAGCCCACGAAAAAACAGCAAAAAAAAAAAGAAACGGTAATTGGTTTGCCGCAAAAATAAAGCACGCGTAGCCGAAATTTCATTTTTATACAAAATGTAGAGCTAACTGTACGAACATGATGCCAAAGTTTCAGAATTGAAGCAGGGAACACATGAGCGACAAAAGCGAGAGCAGTGCGGTAGTTTCCATGGCAAGGTGTGCGCACGCTGCGATGAGGCGGCTTGGCATAGGTCCACGTCACAGCGTCCTGGGCTGTTGCTAAAGGAATCAGCGCGCGGCGCCCGTTTTTGCCGCTCATGTGCTCATGTGTTCCCTGCTTAACAGTTATTATTTCATTCAAAATATACAGGTGATCTTCTGAAACTTTCAAGGGTAAAATGTAGCTCATTTTCGGTAACTGGCGCCATACAGCTCCGTGTGCTCGGGAGCCCCATTGACCATACCTTTTCCCATTGATATTTTATGAAAATAAGTGAAAACTTCTAGGTAAGATAACAGTTAGTAAATAAAATTAGGCATCTGGATTGGATCACTATCGATAAGTTATGGCGATGCTTAGTTTACTTGCTCGGTGAAAAGATTCCTGGAAAATTTTGGAACACCCTCATACGCTTAGTTACAATTTATATTTGATGTGCTCTGGTTCTTGCTCATTTAATATCGCTTATATGGCTGTGGCGTAACATGGGACGTAGGTTCGCGTCAGATGAGACGATTTATGAGGTGATATGACGCGGTTTTTTTGTAGAGCTATTATCTGTCCCCTATGCGTCTGCTCTGCTTACGTCGGTCAGTATAGTATCTGGCTTGGGGAATCATTAGGTTCCAACTGCAATAGCCGCCCGAAGTATTTCTCTATTCCTGTTTTGAATAAATTTCCATCTGTCTAATGGTACCTGCGTCCACACAGTGGCGCCACGGTGTGGCTCGTAAGCTCCTAGCAGAATTTTTGCACTGAGCATGGCCGGAATGGCCTCCTCTACAACAGCGACCCCTCCATGCGCCGGCTAAAACCGCCGCCATCTACTGACGAGCTGGGAGCAATCTGATGCTAGGAAGAGGAAGCAACACCGCTCATGTAGATTTGCTCAATTTTGGTACTGATATATGTCGTCCCATAGTGATTTCCTGGCCGTGGAGCGCGCAGATCCCTTGTAAATGCATATTCCAGAAGCACAAATTCGCCAGATACACTTAATACGACGTGTGGGAATGAGAAAGCAATATAGTCCCTTTAGTGAAATGTTTTCGATTGATGTTTTCAACACGGGTTAAAGCTATTTCTGCTGATTCGGAGTGCGACGCGCGGGAGGCAACGTGCTGATTTTATGCACCCATGACGTACCTACACCTCCTTCCGACTGGCTACTCCGTCACGTGTCCAATGATGCACGCACTGTTCCATGCGTTTATTCTGCCAGAATCGTTGAGCCGCTATGGGGTCGGAGAAGCCTGCCCGTTTCGCACCCCGGAGGCCTGGCTTCGATTCCCATCCATACCGAAATGTACCAAATTTTCTTTTCAAATACATTAATTGACTTTGTTTACAGGGACGTCCCTGAGAACTTTGACGTTAATCCGAGCCATTTTTGTGTGTTTTTACTTTTTGCGCCGCCTGCCATTTTTGGAACAATCGTTCGGTCACGCCGCCAACGACGCCGGATTTTCGCGTCATGGAGCATATAATGCTTTCGCGGAAACGAAACAAGTTGGAGCTCCAATCAACGCTGTGAAGGTGGTGAAGTAGTGGTATCACCTGCAACGATCACCCACTGCAGTAGAGACCCTGTTTATGGGAAACACCACCTGGTGGTGCTCCAGTCTTTGACGTCCCAGATAACTTCTGGGTGATAAAAAGAATGAACAAAGGCCACCCTAACAACCGCTGTTTCAGACGTAGGTAAAACGTTTAACCACAAATTATTCAAGCGAACGCCAAAAGAATCAAGGAGTGCGAGACCTGCTAAAATGTTTTGAGTATTCTTGTAAATCATTTTCCCTCATTTAAGATGTAATATTGTGTAGCCAAAGGCCCTCATTAAATCTCCAACTTTGTTTTCCGTGTAGGATTTATGCTTTCTAGCACTGGTGACATAAACAAGCTAAACAGACTTGCAAAGACGGTGCGACAGGAAGTCGCATGGAACGCAAGCGGCAGCTCATGTTTTTAAAGAGCAAAAGGGTGTATACCAAATGATTGACGAAAGAAACGTAAATGCACTGTACCAAAATGTTCTTATATATGAAAGACTTCGTACGCTGCCGTTGCCGCGGCAGCTTAAGCAACTGCAATCTTTACAGGGAAACGCATACTCTTAGCGGGGCTAGTGAAGTGACTCCCCCCTTCTCTGCCGTTGCCGCGGCTGCTCATGCAACCGCAATCTTTACCGAAAAACACATGCGGGGAGCGCTACGTGCTTCGCATTGTCCGCGCGCGTCTTATCATTCATCATGGGGTTTTGACACTTGTTTTGTGGTTTTCTTATTTTCTTACAGAAACAAGTGTCAAAACCACATGATATATGATGAGGCGCGCGAACAATGTTAAGGCGCGTGCGATGGTTTTCTGTGAACTATTCTGTTGACGGACACGAAAAAACCTCACCAACGAGCCGTATACAGCTTCGCCTTCTATGCTGGCTGCACCTGCGGGACACATGATCACACCCGCGCTCCGAGCAACTCATCTGGTTCGAACAGCGTAAAGACACATACAGACCAACGCCGGACGAGGGTAGGCTTTGAGGTGTCAAGGCGTCAAATCTTCACTCTGGAGCGAGATCGAAAACCGTTCCCGCGGGAAGGCGCAGACGCGTTCAAGGCGCTGTGGGTGTATTAGAAGAGGTCAGAGTGGGTAGTGCCTCACTATGTGACGAAACGCGGACGCTGTCGTTGGTGGCTCCGCCAACTAGCTTCCAAGGTAGAGAGCGGCACGCCCCCCTTTAGGTGTCGCACGCTCCCAGTATTCTTTCTGCAACTTTAACTTATGTGTGATGGTCGGGGGCGACCGGCGAGCACACCTACGTGTAAGGGACGACAGTAACAGTCAAGAGTAGCTTATTTAGAAAATGGCTTAAAAAGGCATCTTAAACTAAAATATATATATGTCTTTTTTTTTTTTTTGGGGGGGGGGGGGTGGGGGTGGGATGGGGGAGCGGCGTGTTGACGTTGTTGCTTTTTTTTGCCGCTGCCGTTGCATGCTCAGTGTGGGTATGATGTGCACATGGGTGATATTTTTCGCCCGGTAGAGCCCGCCGCAAATATTATCGTCTAAGTTTCTCATCATGGCTACATTATTTTGAGGCCAAGTGTCAATTCTCCACCAACATTACGCCCCCAAAAGTGGCTAGTTGAACATGTATTGAAACCTTTCAGTTTATTATAGGACGAAATATTCAACCTCGCGTATTTTACAGTGGCCCCTTTGACTAGCAAACGTGCGCCCAAAAGAAACAAAAAAAAACCCCAAAAATATTATTTTTTTTTTCCATTTTGCACCTATCAAAACATTGCACACGGCATAGAAAACGGCAGTGTCAAAGCTACTAGTTTGAGCGCTCAATTTAGTGTCTCATATGCACGCCGTCTCGTGGAAATGCGAGGTTAAACCAAGAAGCCACTCGAGTTCATCTTGTTATATATAGCGCTAACTATAAATGGCTGATTCAATTGTTTTAGTAATTGCAATTTTTTATTGACTTTAAATGTAGGTTTAATTTGGAAATTCAGTCTGGATCGTTCATTACTACTAAATCCACCCTCATTACGACCATATAAAATTCGTCTTCAAAAGGCAATAAAAATTGCTTAATTAGGACTCATTTTGAGGTTCCGTTTTTTTGTTTTTTTTCGAAGCGCATCTACGCGCCAGCAATCTAGCCAGAACGCACGTTGCCGAAATGGACGACGTCCGTGCTGCGCCACGCATCGCACGTAAAGGATATTTTAACACTGTCACCGATGTAAAATGGCAAACCTTATGAGGCAGTTCGGAGGGTTGCTTATCTAGCCTCTCCTGCGTGCGATGCATGGCGGCGCACGCGCGTTGCCCGTTTTGCCCATGGGGACTGCTAGAGTGGACATGCGCTACAATAAGGAACCGACATCTAAAGCATGTTCAAATGGGTCTTCAAAGTTTGGCCACGATCGTAGCGCGCTCTCGCGGGAGTCGTTCGACGCACTTTTAGGGGCTCCGGAATCGTCGCTCCGCCGTCCACGTCTGCGCGCTCGTGTCTCCCAGTCCGTGTGTTTAGGTGTTTTCTCTGGTGGTGTTGTTCCGTCTTTCGCCATCCTGCACGTGTCTCTCTATCGTCGTTTCGCATACCTCTTTGCTTCGAAATGGCTAAGGTCGACTTTGGAGGATTAACGAAAGCCATTGTCTACGATACGGATGGCATCGTTCGTCTTTATACCTTGAAATATGAATAGACCGCCGACGCCGCATTCGTTTCTACCGTCGATTTGGAGTCAATCAATTATCACGTCGGTATCACATCGTGCAAGTCACTGAAAAAGAGGTCGGCTTCCAAGGCAGTGTGTTATGCAAAGAAAGTAATGATAACCATCTTCAATCCCGACCCAACTAACCACCTAACCAATTTATGAGATCCGGCCACTACAAACAGCTGATTTTGCTCTCCTT